AAAAATGGCAATGAAGCATACGGATTTTGAATAGATTGCCGTACATTCGGAAGAAACATAAAAAAAAAAAAGTATGGTGAAATGCAAGGTACACACAGCCCATGTGTATGGCCCTTTAGCACGTTTTCTTGCTTTTGACTTCCATCTCCAAGGGAGGCATGAACACTCAAAATCTTTTGAAGAGTCACAAAAGCCGATAGCCGACCAGACCTAGCCCTCATTTTAGTACTTCAGAATTTGCAGCTAGCTGCAAAAAGGCTTTGTTTTGCACCAAAGCAGTTCTGCAGCAGCTTCAGAGAGTCCCTTAAGCTCAGTTTCAGGGGCACAGTGATGTGCGAGGCAGGCACGCGGTCACGGAATACATTCGCAGCACTAGGTTCGCTGGGATGGCTAGTAGCAACCACTGTAGTCCATCGTAGCGTGAAACAGGGTATGGTGGCATCACCAGGCACTCCCTTCTGACATTCGACAGCACTGCATAGTGCGAAGCTGTCCAAACCCATGGTCAACGTCTCTTTGAAGCAGCGTGTAACAGATTTTGACAGAATGCAACAAGTGCTCATTGCCAACAACTCTTAGAAACTTACAAGCTATTTGTAAAAACCCACTTTTGTGGCAGATGACAGAGCTTTGTAGCATGTGACAGATAATATGCAACAAAGTTCTTCAAATCCCAATTGAAAAAAAAAAAAAAAAAATCTGAGGTAAGCACAATTACCAAACTACAAGTGGGCATATTTTCTGAAATCAGATGTGGTGGTTTTTAATTAGTGCACAGATATGCTTTATGTTACTCAATGTTCTTCGTACTTGGCAATCGCGTTACACGTCACACCCCCTCATCTCAGTTCCTGGTATAAAGGATGACCACTATCCCTTTCGAGTAAGCTCAAAAGGCAACCCAAAGTCTGAAAATAAGGAACATAGGATAAAGGCTACACAACCACATCTTTCAATATTAAAAAATGCAGTTGTGGCGCCCTGTTTTTTTTTACCATAAAATGCCGTGCATCCCCACTAAGCACCCATTCCCAAATTTGAAAGATATGGGAAAATACGCACAGTATGTTTATATGAAAGATTGATGACCAGACAAGTGTCCATCTGCCATTTTTTGCAATTATCTCCAAATTTTGAGTGGGTGCCTACCCGGTACTTTACGGTACATGTTTATCCTTTTTTCAATCTTGAAGCTTCAGTCAGAAAACCAACCCACCACAAAAGGAAGTATACCTGGTAATTCAAAGTCAGCTACATCCTAAACCCCTTCTAAAAACGAAATAACTAGCAAAAAAAAAAAAAATGTGTGTGACAGTAACAATGCAACAAAATTTGCATGTTGTTCACGCTGCATAAATATGTACCAAAAAGAAATCGTTCATAGAGACAGATAAAACTCCAAAAAAGCTTAAAGGGACACTGACACCCCCAAAATTAATTTTTTTGTCAGGCGATTCATTATGGTGTCAGAAGACTACCCAATCAATACCTTTCTACAGCGTCACATATATTAAAAAAAAAAAAAAAAAAAGTAAAAAAAAAAAAAACACAACTGCTTGAAACTGGACTGGGGAGGAAAAAGAAATATAGAGGAGGAGAGAGGTGGCGGAAGTCACGTGGCTGTGATACTTCTTTTTCCCAAATTAACATATTTGCAGCTTTTTAAAAGCCACAAAAAATGGGTATCATATTTCTATTCTATTTTTAATATTGTGTGTCTGTCTTCGGTGATCCACGACTGATTATCTTTGGTGGTTGTGTCTAAACCGTAGGAAACAACCTGTGGCCACAAAGAAAAGGTGAGCGCGACTCAAACATCCCAATTCTGGATCGACGGTTTTAGGGCTGAAAGAAAACACATTTCGAGCCGCGAATTGTTACCTGGGCAATTGGGTTATCCTATGTCATGTACAAATAAAAACCTTGGCGAGCATAAATACCCTGTCAGTGTCCCTTTAATGAAAAACAGGATTTTTTTTTTAAGCATTACAGTCGGTGTTTATGTTGTTAGAACTCCGTTACTGATCAGGCAGTAACTTTTTTTAGCATAAGCAGCACTATAACTATTGCAAAAATCTAATTATACAATTATCAATAAGAAACTAATGGGAAGCTCTCCCATTTCATTTCACGCAGAAGCATGCTTTGCGAAGCCTGCCACGCATTATGGAAATGTGTATAATTAGCTCATTTTTCCAAGTTGAGACCACACCTGAAACACCGGCTATAATCGCGACCACAGAAGCCAGCAGATTCTTGCATCACGACAAGATGTCTGTCATGAGAGAAATTTCCCTCGAGCATAACAGAATCATAGAGGTGCAAAAATATGTGCTTCAGTCATTCGAGACCCTTTCCTAAATGTGCACACAGAACTGAACAGCCCTGCAAAGCACTAGGGTTGCAGATGTCATGGGAGTGGTAGATTGCTGTGCGTTGCGTTCGCCGAAGAACATTGAACAACCTTTCCGTTCCTACATATATCCCCGCCCTTTCCAACAGCAAAACAAAGACAAGAAAAAAAACAAAAAAAAAGCAAGCGTTCTGGCTATCTTTTTAAGGTGGCTCCCAACATAAAGAATAATCTCCCTAAAACTTAATTCCCAAGATAAAAAACACCTCCCTAGTTCAAAGATAAGTATAAGATGATCTCGTGTTCCTTTCAGACCACTATAGTTTGTTGCAGGTTAAGAAAAGCAGGGCAAGCTCCTTTTGCAAATCCCTCCACTCTTTCTACTTTAGCAGAGCGAATGGTGGAGTGGAGGCAAGTGGAAAAGAGGAAACAGCCAATCGCAGCAAACAAAGCGTCCTGGCAGGAGGTTGTCCTCCTTCTCTTAACCTGCCAACAGACCATACCAGCCCAACTTTGCTGGTCGAATCTTAGAAGACGCATCTATTTCTCTACAGAGCATGCGAAGAACCAACCAATGCAAACTGCGGTGGAAGCAGAACCAACGGGAAGGCTCAAATAATGCACGGAATCAACAAAATGCGACACCAGGCAGAGACACTGGGGCATAAAATACGTAAAGCTTTTTCGCCCCTTACCAATCGCTCCATATTCCATCACCACTCAGCAGGTGAGCTAGTTGGCTCCCTATGGGTACAACAGTGAGCGAATGGCCGCAAAACTTTTTGGGAGCGATTCTGTCGACTAGCACGCTTAGACAAAAAAATACTTCGGGTTTTGTATGGCAATGAAACCCAACAAGACGCTGAAATGTCTGATATGCTACCACGCAGCACCGTCGACAACGTACAAGCCAAATCGTCCAACTGAACTTGCCCACTGTACTCAGCATCAAACTATTTTATGCTGAGCTGTCGAGGCTATCGTCCGTTGCAACTCAAAAAGGTAGGGCGAGAGTAACACGGGCCGGGGAGGAGGAAGCAGACGGAAAGCTAAAGAAAGAAGGAGGTTTCCCCCTCTCTTCTCTAGCTTTCCGTCTGCTTCCTCCTCCTCGGCCCCACCTTCTTGAGTTGCAACGGACTATAGTGTAGTTTCTGCAGTGCTCCCATCCCGTTGAAGCTACTTACACGAGTGCGTGAAAATTGAGAGGAAGTCACATGCATGCGCTCTCGCAGTGGTGTGGAAGCTACGCTGGCGTCGACAATGTAACACAAAATAGCTGACGTAGAGCTGCAACAGTTATGGGATTCACAGCAGTCAAGCCATCTAGCGTAACATCAGGTTTGAAACGGTGTTCTTGTTTTGTTTATATTCATTCCTAGAGAAGATGTCCATTGGCAATGCCAATAGCTGTCCTAAACCAGCCTGAAATTCGGTGCAATCCATTCGATTTAAACCAAACACACGGCAACTCAAAACCGAATCAACAAGGCCTAAAAGGGCGTGTCGAGCGATCTGGTGCGATGACGACAGATCTCCAACGATGCTCCGAGTGTAGCGCGACCGCAGAAAGACAAGAGATACCCAAAGGGAAAAAAAAAAATTAAAAACAAAGAAAGGAAGAAAACGTTTAGGCGGCGGCGGTGACATTCAGAAGCGTCAGTGTTCGCTTATCGCGAGCACTGGGTGGCGGGAGGGGAATCGCTGGCATCATCGCTTGCCGCCCCGTTGCAGTAATACACACGCATCCCCTACAGACACCGGAAAAACAGGGACAGATTTCAAAAGTTCGATTTCCTCCGTGCGACGTGAGAAGAGGAGCTGCTGCTGCTGCTGCCGCCGGCAAGCGAGCCGGCCAGCGGTACGACCGACGCTACCGGCGTATTAGTCATGCGTTCCGCATCCCGCGAGGGGAACTGAAGAAGGAAAACAAAAAAAAATCTATAAAACAAATTCGAGTAACCGCCCTCAATGTTGTTGATAAGAAAGTAAAAAGACAACAACAAACGCTATCGTTCCCTTGAAGAAAACTAGAACACGAGAGAACACAAAAAAAAAATACAAAAACACGCACAATAAACGACCTAACCAAGCTCGCGATTGCAGCTCGCGTAGTTGATTAGGCACGAAATTGAACGCCGGCTTAAAAACATACACAAAAAAAGAAAATCGTCCGCAGGCGAAAAATTGAACGCTTGCGTGCGTCTCTTGGTTTTTTGTTTTTTTTTTCTTAAGTATTAACTATTTAATTATGTCCGCGATTCGAATACGTTTTTTAGGGGTGAATCGAAGGCACGGTTTACACGGAGAAGGCCAGCGTTCCGTCTTTCAACGCCCGACACCACTCCCTTCCCATCTCCGAAGCCGCTCCCGGTTGGATCAAACGCCCGGAGGCGTGAAAATAGAAACGGAAGATATCTTCCTTTTCTCGACAGAGAAGCACTATTAGGCTCCACATCAAAAATCGTGCACCTCGACGCTTCCGCCAGTCGAACACACCACCAGAAAAGCGGCAAAAGGCGAAGCCGGATTTTTTTTTCTTACCACGCTCGGTTTACGAATGCCTCTCCCTAACCACCGTTAGGCTTAGAGACGGGCCCGACGGTCGCACCGGAGTCAAAATAAAGAAGCAAAAAGGGGGGAGACGCACCTGCTTGCCGTCCACCTCAATGTCGGCGACATAATTCTCGAACACCGTCGGCACGTAAACCTCCGGGAATTGGTCCTTGCTGAAGACGATGAGCAGGCAAGTTTTACCGCAAGCGCCGTCGCCGACTATCACTAGCTTTTTCCGGATAGCAGCCATGTTCGGTTGAGGTCTCTTCCTTCCGCGGTGGAATTCGCTGGCGAGGCCGTTGCTGCCGTTAGGGTAAAGCCGACGACGCTGAGGCCCAACGGTTTTCGAGTCAGCGCATGCGATGGGCCGGGCCCTGCGTTCGGTCCAGACAGAGGAATACGACCTTCGGCGGCACGGCTTACTGACGCTGCTCTTCGATCAAAAATCGTCCACCATTTTGCGGGCGGCGGAGGAACGATCGTGGCATCTCCTAGCGGCAACAATTTGTTCGGTGAAAGTGGTTTCGTGCGTGCAGGGCAAGGTGCAGAGAGTGCCGCCGAAATCTAAATAAATAATCAATGCGCTTATTTGATTTAGTTATCTAGAAGTGTTAAGATGATTCAATGACAACTAAAAAAATTATTCAACCCCATTGTACTGTACGTGCGGGTAGTATCACTTACGTGACTCTTATCGGACGAAAACCCTACCCTGACGGCATTGAAATCATGAGAATAGAGTAACTGGGAGTAACTCAGCACAGTACGAAACGAGAATCGATCATCACCACCATGTACCAAACACGAACAAACGGAACGAACTCGCTCGTACGGTGACATCGTTTGGAAACTACCTGAAACGGCTGAAAGCGCGAGGGCGCGAGTATCAAAGATATTGGAAGTTAGTTTTCGCAAAATTTTGCTGTGGTGACATATGTTCGGTTAGCTTTGCAGTGACTCGTTGTAAACGCTTGTCAAACGGAAGCAGCATGCTTCGTGGTACCAAACGCAAACGCGGTAAAGCGAAGGCAAGTGTCGAAAAACCCCCTTGCAAGTACGGCGCAAAATGTTACCGCAAAAACGCTGACCACCTGAAGAACTTCAGACACGTCGTTGCAGAGGTGAGATGAGGCTCATTCCTACCTACTTTGTGTGGGTTTCTATGCTTACATTATTTTTTAAATTTTCATATAGGCCGTCGAAACTAAAAATGATGCCGCCGAATGCTCTGGCGAAGAGGATACCGAGTTTCAGTCGGGTGAATATATGTTCAAACTTTCTAGAGAGAGCTGTCTTACGATCTATACCTGCAAAAGACTATAATTAATCAGATTAAAAAAAAAAAAAAAAGTGGCTCTCATGAACGTTTTTCAGAGCAAGGTGAATCAAGTCCGGGTACAAGACACGAGGAGAAGCAAAAAGTCGACGACAGTCTCGAAGTCACCGGAACCGATGTGGCGTCGGCTCCGGACGATTCGGGCAGCCAGACGGCTGGGGACGAATCGGACGCCGAGGAGATGCCAGAGTCGCCTGAGGACGTCCGAGAGTCCATCAAGCAAAAATTCCTGGTCGAAATGCCCCGGGATTTCTACGACTTCTGGGAGTTCTGCAAGTCCCTCAACAAGCACAAGCCCGAAGGTAACCCCACCCTGCCCTCGGAAGTTCTTGCAGCCTTTTCCGGAGCTTGTTTTTGCTTTTTGTAACCTACAACAGGCTACGCGGATGTGGAAATTCGTCTGCTTCTTATGCAGAGGATTGCTGAGGAATCGGAACACCGAGCTCTGATTTGCTCCGATTGGATGGATAGTTGTTAGACCTCAATGCTAGCTGCCTCGAGGCCTACCCATTATCCTTTCAACTGGGGCCAATCGGAGCTCAGCGTTCTGATGTCACTGCAACCCCGCGCAAGAAGCAGACAAACTTGCACCCCACATAGCCAAGACTGGTTCACCCACTCATGACTGCTTAGGACAGAGCGACGTACAAGCTCTTGTGACCATTTACGAGAGAACACACTGCACCATCTATCGGGCAGCCATAAAACACCTGCATATTCCGTGCACCTCTTTTCTTCTTTTTTTGTGTGTGTTTACTCAAGAAGCTTTTGACATTATAAAAAAACCTTCGCTCTAGTGAAATGCAGTTCCAGGACCACATCACAGATGAGGCCGGTTTGTTTATCTCGTCGTAAGGGTTTGCGAAAATTCGGCCGTAAGCGATTGCGAGCGTGCGAAACCATCCTCTACGCCACGCGAAAAGGTATGGGTAACTCCCGGACCCACAGAGCGGAGCGGTCCTAACTTACCAAGGTGCCCCGTTTTCAGACGCCCTGTACGACACGCTGGGGCTCCGCCTGGTGGGTCCTTTCGACGTCCTGGCCCGAAAGCTGACAAACAGCTCCGTGAAGAAGCCCGACGACTTCCTGCGTCACTGGCGGTACTACTACGACCCGCCCGAGATGCAGACAGTCGTCAGAGGAGACGACGAAACGATGTACCACCTCGGCTACTTCAGGTAGTGTCGCCTGACAAAACCTTTTGTTTGCTTCGTAACGGCACGGTGCCTGTAACGTGTCTCCGACTGGTGTGCTGGGCGTCCTCTAGACACTTTCCAAAATTGTGAAATGAGGCATAGATTATGCGCAGCTGCCATTAGTTGGTCTCGTTGCTCCTGGCGCAAAGCCCGTGACTGGTTCCGAGTTCGTGCCCAGCACATGACGCTCACTCGCATGGAATGCGTTTTGATCCGAGTACATTTCGAATGCCGACGAAGCGCTTGTGTCCAATGCATGCTCACAGTGCATGACCGACTAATGGCGGCTTCACATTATGTATGCATCATTTCGAAAAGGGTCTGATAGACCCATACGGATGCCCAGAAGTTGTGGTGAGGAGGAAGGGGGGGGGAGGAGAGGATAAAAAAAAAAATGAAAGCCGCTTACAACTCCCTGTAACGCCGAATTAGAGCGCAGCTCTTGAGGAGGAGGAGGGAAGGGCACTGGGGGGGGTTAAACTAACCAGGGGGGGTCACGTGACCCCCAATGCCGATGATGTCATCACTGACGTCACTGATGACGTCATCAGTGACGATGACGATGCGGGTACCGATGACGTCATTAGTGACGTCACTGATGACTTCACCAGTGATGATGACGATGACGATGCGAATGTCGGTGACGTCATCAGTGACGTCGCTGATGACGTCATCAGTGATGATGACGATGACGATGCGGATGCCGGTGACGACATCAGTGACGTCACTGATGACGTCATCAGTGATGATGACGATGACAATGCGGATGTCGGTGACGTCATCAGTGATGATGACGATGACGATGTGGATGCCGGTGACGTCATCAGTGATGATGACGATGACGATGTGGATGCCGGTGACGTCATCAGTGATGATGACGATGACGATGTGGATGCCGGTGACGTCATCAGTGATGATGACGATGACGATGCGGATGCCGGTGACGTCATCAGTGATGATGACGATGACGATGTGGATGCCGGTGACGTCATCGGTGATGATGACGATGACGATGTGGATGCCGGTGACGTCATCAGTGATGATGACGATGACGATGCGGATGCCGGTGACGTCATCAGTGATGACGATGTGGATGCCGGTGACGTCATCAGTGATGATGACGATGACGATGTGGATGCCGGTGACGTCATCAGGGACGATGACGTCATCGGGGGGTTACGCGACATCGGCGGGGGTCACGTGACCTCGAGGAGGGGGCCACGTGACTTCGGGGGGTCACGTGACCCCCCACGAGGTCACGTGACCTTGGTGGGGGGCTCGCGCGGTGCATTATGGGACATTTCCCATGATGCACCGCGCGGTTACGCCGACGCCGACGCTGACGGCGACGCCGACGGCGACGCCGCTCAAGCCGGAAACGGGCCCCTAAGAGCTGCGCTCTAAAAGGTGGTTGATTGACTGGTGAGTTCATAGCTCCCACCACACTGTCAACCTAGAGTTGAGTTGAGCATAGCAGTTTCCAGCCATCTCCAGTTTCAGTGTCTTGCATCCTCTTAAAGTAATTTTCAGTGGGAGCAGCAGGGAAGTCGTTGGCAACGTATTGGTCTGCTGCTGCCGAAACTGTTTGAAAAGACGATCTGTCGACAGCTCGCATCCTCTCTTCGATCTCCCCAGGGACGACCCAAACGAGATGCCCGTCTTCGTGGCCTCCAACGCTGTGGCAGACGGCTGCCAAATCACCAAAGTGGCCGGGAACCTGTTTGGAGCACTCCGGTACGAATGTATGACACCTGTCGGTGGCCATAGTTCTGGGTGCCTGCTCTCCACTATGTGTTTGACGAGCTGCAGGGTGGGCCATTTTCGAAGACCATTTGAGACCGTAGAATAGCTTCGATCGAAACAGTTTGCTCAAATCTACGCCAACAAACCGTCGTCCGGCGCCTTATGCGTCCGAAAAACCTTTTTGTGTTTTGGGCGAGGTTCATTTCTGCCAAGATCGGCGAAGTCAGAAGTGGGAAATAAAGTGGCCAGTAATTGGTTCCTCTATATTCGTAGGGATTCAACAGATTTGGCGTGCTCAACACGGCTTATGCTAGCTGTGTTGTTTGGCTGTCAGTGACTGTATAAAGGCTGTTGACAAGGTACGGCATCTAAAATAGTCTATTTGTTCCTCACTAAATTACCAGTGTACAACATTGAAGTTGCCCCTAAGGTGGAATAAGCGTGTATGTAACAAATATGAGTTGACTAAGTCAGTTTTTTTTACTGTCTGAGACTGCGTAACTCGTTTACGCAACGGCCCATTCGTTGCTCTCTGTTCCTGTCCTAAGGAGGTAGTGGCCGAGGAGCGAGAGCTTGCGCTGCAGAACCCATGGGTCCTGGGCGCTATCTCCACCCCTGCCCGTCTGGGTCTGGACGAGCATCGTACAGTCGCGTATTGCTACTGCGTGACGCATGTTTAGGACCCCGAGGCCCGCAGTCCTACTGCACTGACTAAGTTTCTCATCTAGGGTCGAGACACCCGTCGGGGTTGACCGAGTTCCCGCCGTATAAACATATATACTACCCACGACTGGTTTCTGAAGAGTAATTAAATGGCAGAGCCAGAGTGCCGCTTTCCTTAAGCCACCAACTCCTCATTGGCAGAGAAGGGGTCCGATCGATAAAATTTCGACTGCCGTAATATTCTTAAAATCAAAAGCAAATCGCGTGAAAATATGGTGTGGGGTAGCCTTCAACGTGCAATCAGGAAAATTTAAAAAGGATGCTATTTTTAGGTCATGTGGGATCCGTTTCAAGCTTGTTATCCTGGCGAGGGGCAACGAAGCCAAGGTGAATGTACTTCTCAGTCAGCCACGTTCGCTTATATCCTGCCATAGCTAACTAGCCGCATTTGTGCCGAGGCTATCATTGGTCCCAACACTACTATTACTAGCAGTGGCCTATCTTTCGGTGTTATAGCAAATATAGCAAATCAAGCCAAAATTCTCTCGGGATTCTCTCATCTCTTGGGATTTTACGGTACAGCACTTGCAAGGAAGCGGCCTTGCAAAGCCGTACGTTTTTATCTGCATTTACGAAATTTAGATCCCACACTGAACTCTGATGCGCACAAAAATTCTTGAACCTTTGGACATTGTGTGTGCCAACTAGACGCGTGTTACTGCATCCTTTTAATAACGCGAGCGCCATTTCAGATCAGTCGTGTATACAAGTAGACAACGTGATGACCCACGACGCAATACGTACGACGGCTCACGTGCGGTGAACCATTGCCGCCTCATGTCGTCGCACCCGTTGTGTCTCTCGCAAGAGCAACAATCACTTCTCCGTCTCAAGATAAAAAAAAATTGAGCCAGTCTCCGTACCCGGCTCTACATGTGGAGCATATACGGTTACTCTGGGTTTCTGATCGTAATGCAATTTCCTTTTTGTTTTATATATTTTGATGCAGGAAGGAGATCTCCAAGGCGCTGAAGGACTGCACAGACACGAAGGCACGCTCTGCGCTGCGGAAGCTGAACGGGGCACTGGTCGAGTTTGCCGAGGAGAAGCGGCACTCCATCACGGAGGCGTCCAAGAAGCGGCCGGCGCCGCAGAGTGCCACCTTCCACCGCGCTGGACTCGTGGTGCCGGTCGACAAGCGCACCGACGTGGGCTACCGCCCGCTTCCCATGTCCGAGCGTACGTTCAGTTGGGTGTGCTTTAGCTCAAAGGCCGGCATACAAAATTGTCTTCTGTCGGGCAGAAATCCGCTTTCTCATTTCCATTCCCTCACGTATTCATCTGTCTTCTCCTCCCAAGACCGGGTATCTGAGCTAATCGCCGCAGAAAGGAGGGTCTCTCTCTTTTTCGAACGGAAAGGAGGAATTGAGGGAGAGTTCTTTCCTTTCCGACTGTCTAGTGGCAAAATTTTTAAAGTCGCCAATTTGCCTAGAAAATGGTTCAATAGATTAATACAGACATCTGACCTGGTGACTTAAACTGCAAGTCACAACAGCTTTTCTTTCTTCGCAAATCGCGACATCCGACACTCTCGCTTTTGCGACATCATTTGTTGCCGTTTTGGGGCGGAATCTGGACTGCCTTGAGGTCTACCCATTATCTTCCCAATCAAGCCAATCGTAGCTTGGTGCTCTGACATCACCGCAACCCCTGCGCAAAAAGCAGACAAACTTGCGCTCTGTATAGGACTCTAAACACCCCAGCTAGAGATGTGTTAATGGCATCATTGTATTACGGAGAAAACCTGGAATGTTCGGGGAATCTCGAGGCGTCCGGGGAAACTGACAGACGGGGGCGGTACAGTGGCATGCAAGAAAGCGGGAGGGTGTAGCTTCTGGTGGCATGGACGGCCATTGCCAGAGACATCACTACATGGCTTAAGCCACTGGCCGATTCGCCGGATTAAACTGGAACAGCCCAAACATTCGCCGCTGACCCCATCCTCCGCATTTTCTTGTTTCGGAATTCAATCGGAATATCTAGGGAAACTCCGGAATGTTAGGGGAATTCTAGAGGAGTAATTTGGTAGACACCCCACATAGGGAGTATTCACTAGTGGCCATATCTGTGTGCGCTGCTCCCGTGCACATGCCGGCGGCGAACTTCCGCAGCTCTTAGGCAGCTTGCGTTCTGCACCATCAAGATTGGTGGTCTTAGCAGGCTATTAACATGAGCTTGTTCCGAGCATGCGCTCTAAACATCGCCCTCAAATATGGCGCCCAGTGAACACCCTCCATTAGTATATCAGTACAGCAAAACTTTCCGTCTCTGCTCGCAGGCCAGCTGAAGTTTATGCTGACCCAAATCTCGAAGTGCAAGGAAAACGACGCAGAAAACATGCTCTCGGACGATCTGCAGAACCTTGTGACACGCGTCAACATCGCCAACGATGAATGCGACTACGGAATGGGCCTCGAGTTCGGCATTGACCTCTTCTGCTTCGGCGACCCCAGGTTCCACCCGACGATCTTGATGCAGACGACGCTCGCCTACCAGCTGCTGAACCGCGAAGCCTTTGCCCGGATCCTCAAGGCGCACCTTCGGCGAAGGCTGAAGACCGCCGATCTGAGTGTCCTCTCGAGCCGAGGTGGTCGAACCCCGTAATATAAGTCCTGTTGGCCGATCCGTGCAGCGGCGTGAGTGGATGAGCTGCTAACAATGGACCCCGCACGTAGAGCTGGATCTTAGCAATTGGTTTTACCTCGCACAATCTCGAAGCTTCGTTTTTGTGGTAAAAAATTGGAGCGACGTCCGTGGCAAGGGTGTCGCTCTAAAAGCATTCCCTGTGCGCGGGTGCTTTTTTATTTTTTGTTAGCTCCTCCATTTACGCCGCCCCTCTGTTTATGGTACCCTATACGTGAGTAAAAATTATCATGTTGTAGTGCATGCTTGCCATTTCTACTTATTTCTTTCGTCCCCTTGAATTGAGAAGCTGCTTGAGCCACCTATAATCGGTGATGGTAAGAATGCAGCAGCAAATGCTGATCCATGGGGTTCAATTATTACACCAGCTTATTCCTCCCCTCGGTGTCAATGATGTCGCGACTTTACGAACAATCTTTTTTATCGGCAGATTTCTGAGAAACGTTATGAAGACCCGTCACGTGACACCGTGGAGTCGTGTCGTGGATCAATGGATAAATATTAATGGCTGTACCCTTTCTAACAGGTAAAAGCTTGCACTACCCTAGACTAAAAAAAAAACTATCCTTTCTTCCTTCGCAAGCCAGCGCATTTTTGTAACTATTACCAGGCCATGAAGGTAATCACCAGCAAGGGGCAGAAAATCTTCCAGTTGCCAGACTCCTCAGCCACAGTTGCTCGACTTCCAGCAACTTCAAAAGACTACGAAACTCTCCAAGTATAAACGGATCTGTTCTGAGGCTGACTGCTCTGCAGTCGCTGGGCGCTGTTACTGGACTCTAGACAAGAAATAGAAAGGCTAGGGAGGGGGCCACTTTATTCTTCTTTTCTTATCGCATCTATTATTTTCTTGGAAAATAAAAGTATATATTTCCTTCCCTCCATGTCCTGAGCGCGAAAATTGGGGAGAAAAGTACAAAAAGGACGAGACGTCCATCTTCATCACATTCTCGCGGTGCTGTACTCCATGGGGAATGCAAACGAGTGAGCTCCGGTGCCGAGGATGTTCGGCAGGCTTCCGGCGTTGGGGATGACGTTCCAAGAGAGCGTTAGCGTCACATTCTTGTTTCCCCTGCACGCAGAACACATATAAAAAGTTTAAAAAGTGTCGGTCCAAGCAGCGGCGCAGCGTGCCCGACAAAACATACGTGCACATGCCGGGAACAACAGGAAAATTATTGGCCCAAAACAAACGTAAGTAGACTCTACTCCAGGAAGCCACAAATTTTCTTTGAGTTATCAGAAGTTTGAATTATAAGAAGATTATCTAAATATGGTCCAAGATAAAATTATGATTTGCCATATCTACACATACAAAGCAGATATTTGATGATTTCCTCCGCATAGGCCTGCTAATCATAAGCACGTGAGCCACTCAAGAAACACTTGTGAAATGTATTAAGTGAGTTTATATATACCTCAGAAATGTTTATCGCAGGGTGTTTTGACAGCACATGACATTGTAGCAACAAGCGGACGATGTGACGTGGACCTATGCCATGTTGCCACAACGCAGCGTCCGTGCAAGTTGCTATGGAAATTTTTGCGTGGTGCCTGTTTTTATAACTCCTGTGCCCGCCTGAGCCCCGTTGAGTGCACTTCTCACCGAGTGCATTGGTGCACTACGGAAAAGACACACCCGATGAAGCAAGCTCCGCGGGTGTTGCCTAGGGTGCCTTCATGCCCCGCTTCGCTGAACATGAAGGCACTCTAGTCTCGCCTCTCTGCACCACATCGGTGCTCAGAAAGAAGCACACTCAACGGAGCTGCGAGTATAAAGAGTTTGAATTACCCGAAAATGCCGTTAGAATTAAACAATTTATGAATAAATAAAAAACAAAACGTAGCAGAACAACCAAAATTTGGGATTGTTTGAATTAACCAGAAGTATGCAATATCCCAGTTTGAATTATTGCGAGCCCACTACCTATAGACCAACACGCGGCCCCGACGTCGTGCAGCTGCGGTGGCGCTGTCGAAGGCAGTGCACATGTGCAGACGCTTCACCTCGTGCGAATTCGGTTTCTGTGCAAGTGCAGTGCTCGCACCTTGTGTAGGCAAACGCGGGGTTGTTTGTAAGCAGTGTGTCGGTCTATACACCTTTCCAAGAAACACTCGACCCCATGGACAAGAGAACCTTTTTCGAGCCCAGTCACTGTTTTTGAGGCTAGACTCTCACCGGCGCCCCTGCTAACCCCAATCGAGTGGACTGTGATTTTGATAAGTGCAGCATCCGTGGGTGCAATTTAAACCACTGCTGGCAGCTAAATTCTTGCCTTTTCCCGCTGCTTTTTGATTTCATGGTGTACATATTTTCCCGGGGACACTGACAAAGCATTGTACCACACTTGAAGCAAAAACAAAAAGAAACTAAACTATTTTCGTTGGGTAGGCGTGCGAAAGAATGAATGCGACTGGAATGTTAGTTTCATATTAGGACAAGTTTTGACGACACCGCCTGCTCCGCCATGTGTCAAACGACAAAGCACTTAGCTGTTGAGAGTAATTTACAACAGAATACATATAACCAAAAGGCATGCATGTTTCACACACACAAATAATGTGCTTACACACAGACAGGACTCGGACATGCAATTTAGCAAGTGGTAACATTCAAACAATATGCAAGGTGTGATCAAAAAGCTGCGAGGCTGATTTTGTAGCGTAAAGAGAGGGGAAGCACAGTGATCTGGGTGCAGCAGTCTGAGGAAGGGACCTTCGTGTCTTGTTATACCAAAGGCGTCACTCCGGAAACATTTGGATCTTCGCTACACGAGTGTTTGTGACCATGTGCAGGGGCACAATGGCAACTTCACAATACACCAACTCATGTTTACAAACAAACCGGAGCGCCCCTAGCGGACGCCACCGGCGCCGCGCATGCGCGAGGGGGGTGTGGGCAAGAACTTCGCCGTCGCCCATAAACAAACCATTGGAACGCGATGTTGTCGGCGTCGGTGTGAGTCCCCTTGCCCTTTTTCGCGTTCGGATTGTTGATTCTACGTCTTCCTGGCGATGTCTGACCACTTGAGCGGCGTCAGCGAAATTACCGAGGCTCGTTACACCGCAAAACTTCGCGTGAATAATGTGACATGTGGCGATTCTTTCCGCGTGGACACCGCAGAATGGACGCTAAAGCCTGATTCGCACGATGAGATTTCGCTCCCAATTTTCAGTCGCGACGTCGCTTGGGCTGCAAAAGCGTGAACCGTAGCTGAGATGGTCGACGTCGATACTGAAAAGCGCAAGCAGAATCGGACCAAGTGAATTAGGCCTAAAAAGTTCGTGATGCTACTGGTAACAATGATCAACGTCTCCTTGTATCTACTGTTTGCATCGAGCCTGCTTACCAACCTTCAAATTTAAGCCTTTTGAGGCCAGCACTTACTTCTTATCGCAAGCACCGGGCCAACAATTGGTCTACGGGGAGTCGTCGTCTAAAAGAGCAGACGACAAGCAGAAACGTTTGAGAGAGCAGACGACAGCTCGAACGATCAGGCCGCCGTTTGAACTTGAAGACGCACTGAACGTAGTCCGCAGGTGGTTCGCACAACTTGATGGGTTTCTGGCGTTCATGTTGCAACAAAACAAATAAATCTGATGACCACAAGTATCCGTGAATTCAACCCAAAGTGCTTCCCGCCCAAGCAATCGTTGTCCGAAGGCGTCTGCTTTTCCCTTTTTACGGCACATATCCAGATCCTCGGACGAACCGAGCACCTGAAAACTGACCTTCAAACCTTTCTCGACACTTTTGGTACGGCCCCAGTCACGGCGTTTCGACGAGAAGGCAGGTTTTTGTCTGGTTCCTTTCAAAACAACGCAGGAATACACGTCTGGCATGGGGACTTCTGCCCACAGCCCCAAACCGGAAGTGCGACCGACGCGCCACCACCGCGCCGTGACGTCACAGAGATGAGTTGGTGTATAGACTGCAAGCCTGAGCGAAAGTGAACATCAATTCTGCATGAAACCAGGGGCGGATCCAAGAAGGGGGGGGGCGCGACCGGAGTGCCCCCCCCTCTCTCTTTCTCGGAAGGCAATTTGACATGGGTGGACCACCCGGTGCACACGAAAGAATGGGAGAATAGCATCCTTCCAAATTCCCTTTCCTCCTCCCTCCTCCCCCCCCCCGCCCCCAAAACGGAGTTCTGGATCCACCCTTGCGTCAAACTTGGCGAATATAAAACGGAGACATTTGAAATGGTTTAGCAGGCTTGTGTCAAAAAGCAGTGAATTTCGTAAAGTGCTTTAAGTGGCAATCGCGCTTCAGGAACGGCAGAACATTGCTGGAAGACTAAAAGCAGTAGGGCGACCTTATCCGACCTCTCCTTGACTTCAGTGACCCTCTGCCATTCATGACGCGCGAGTGCCATTGAAAACACTTCACACACCTCACTGCTTTTTTGCATAAGCCTTCTAAATAATTTGAAAGGTCTGTTTTAGATTTGCAGAGCTGGACGCAAGATCAATGTTCGCTCTCGCTTTGGTTTGCAGTCTATGGAGAGGATTGCCATGATGCTCGTGTATGTGGTCAAACAAACTTGTGTAGCGCAGTTACAAATGCTCACAGAGCGACGCCCTTTGGCATAATGATGAAGGAAGGTCCCTGCTTTCAACTGCTGCGTGTGTATCACTGTGCTACCCTCTCTTTTTACGCTACAAAATCAGTCCCGAAACTCTGATCACACCTCATACTATATGTACCGCACGGTGCAACATCATCCGAAAAGGATTCATTTGACAAAGATCTCAAATAACACAACACTACAGTGTCGACGACAGTCACATCCTGACAATCGGACAGAATCCAAGAGGACTTCGTTTGGGATTCTCCCGTCTGGGAGAGGGGAGAAAAGCGTCGAGGGCTGTTTGACGCCCCTCCCCTCCTTTGTTTCCTATGAATGTTGAGCAGAAACGCTTAAACTGCAGGCACTCACCAGCTCTATTTCTCATGGCAAAAGATAATACAAAAAGGGTATGCAGTGCACCTAAGAAAAATGAAGTGGAAACTTTCAAGAGAGGCCGGTAAACTTTGATTGCAAAACGGCGAAACATGGGTGGAGAGTTGCACTGAGCAGGCTTCAACAGTCTAGGAGAGTGGCAGAAAATTTCTAGCCGATAGGGGCCGCGAGAGTCGCACCAGCTGCATCGCCATCAGAAAACATGGCGGCAGCCCGGGCACGTTTTTGGAAAGGGGCATAGTCACCAATAGACTGGAGACGGCAGGGAGGAGCTTTTGTAGACCCCGCCCTTCGCTCTACGATCGGCTCACAGCCCTTTTACTTACTCTGCACTACTTTATCTGATGCGTTGGTCCCACGAGACTTACCACAACGTCAAACTCGCAAATGTCACGAAGGCGAAATTATTAAAAAATATGGGAATACAGCATTCACATGGTTGTTGACTGCCATGGATGTATCGCGCTGCAATGCCGCTTACTCGTCGAGAATACAACGCTGAATAAACATAAAGAAAAGTGGAAGTGTTGTTTGTTGGTGAGCTACGTGATGAGCGAAATGTCTCAAATCGTGCTTACGTCCTTTTCGCATTGTTTATTTAAATTATATATAATAAAAACAAACATATATTCATATATTTGTTGCTGTGTGCTTTTCTTCTCGTAATGCAGTGGTTTACATGGTCTGCACTGCGCTTTATGCTATTTCAAGCAACAATATGAGGCCCAACTCTAAAGACGGATTATGCAATCAAAAAGGCCACGAGCGCTAGTCGAAGCAAACAGAACATTCAGTTTTACTTTTACCGTTTTTTTTTTGTTACACTACACACTTCTATCGGTTGCAGAGAGACAATCGAGCTCGGTCGACAGCAACAATGCATACACTGCACCCTGCACTGCCTTTCTCGCTCTGTCAGAGAAAGAGTGAGAATGGCAGTGCATGGCCATGCTTTAATAGCAGGACGGATTACCGAGAAATGAGAAACCTACTTGAGCCCATGGCCGTCGTCCCAGAAGTAGTATTTTGTGTGCAGGCTCTTGAAGTCCAACATGGCCTCCTCGCCCCTGCGGATGATCTTGTCCCACAGCACCACTTGGTTGAGCACCTGAAGAAAGACAAGCGCTCAATCACCAGCCGCCTCGCACACGAGCGATTCAGCACTTCAAATCCACAAAGACTATACTCGGCGTCAACGCTTTTAGTGCTACGTCGTCAAAGTAAAAGGGGGGGGGGGGGGGGGGGGGGGCTTTATGTAAAAAAACAAAAACAAAGAACAGTGCCTGGCATGCCCCAGCAGAGGACCTAGGACTAAGCTCTCGTGCAGAGGAGACATCAACTGAAGTAGCAAACGAAGTGCAAGTACCTAGCTTTGACAGCAGCGGAACACTGTGAAAATTATGCTAGTCTTCAAAATGCGGCACAAAAACGCTGATGCCGAGTATAGAGTTGGCCAAAACCATTCTGCACTTACATTCTTCTCCGTCTCGTATTCGGCTGTAAGATACAGGAACAGCTGCTTGACATTCCAGTTGAACAAATCGGTCAGATCTGCACGCTGGTCAGGGAAGTGTTACTGCCATGGCTTCAACATTAAAGCACTTGTCTCCACATAATTTAATACAGCGGCACAAATCGCGTTCATTGTAATATGTCTCGTTTTTTCACTTTGCCTTATTTCTGGTCCACACTCTTATCCTCTCACTAGGTGTACTGATACGCATCTGATAGGAGAGAATTCGTATTGCATCGAGCTCTGGAACTAGAATGTGTACCTGTCTTGTTTTGGTGACATTGGAACCATAGAAGGAGAACTACCTTAAAATAGTCAAGGTAGGCTTGTTATAGGTGGAAAGCAATCACTTGGCTTTGACTGTGATGCTACTTTGACCATTTCTATGGAGCATTATACATTTTGCTTCTAATCAGGGATGCCATACAACCTGTTTTAAGCACAAAAACATTGACTGCTTAAATGAACTTCGATTGTCAAACATGTTTTAATCTGCCGAGTCGATGGGTCTGATGAACTTTGTACCTCAGCTTAGAGTTTGAAGATCAAATCATTTTTCCTCTTAAGCACTGTTTTGGGGCTTTGAGTGTGATTTTAACACCATAAAAACACTCGGGAGCGACATAAAATGGAGCTCCATTTTACGTCGCCAAAGCTCACGTCTATAGAGCGTTTTGATCCTCTCGGGCCCAAATCTACATAAAAATTTAACCTGTCGAACTAGGTCAACATTTTGGCAGTAGTTATGAGATTGAATCTATGCACCATCCACGAGAAATGGGCTCTTTTAATATTGTCAGAAATATTTCAAGCACAAGATAGAGGAATATTATGTTACAAATACATAGTTTGCACGTGACGTCATTCGCAGCCATACCAGTATTTTTTGCGCCACAAGCAAGGAGGTTAGAAGTATTAGGAGAGGGTACATGGCAATATTGGTTCAGCCTAGTCATAAAAAGTTTAAACAGTGTTGTGGCCAACGTGACCATAGATCTCTCTGGCTAATGGTGTGCGTGACATGTCACGTGTGAGATGGATGGTTGACTGTAGAAGTACACCTTGCAGGCTTGCGCGCGCTCCATCCGGTAAGTTTTATCAGATCGAAGGCTGGCCTGTGGTGTATTCTAGTACCCCATAGCTAGACGAAGGCTAGCGACGGTCACGTGATGTGGTCACGTTGGCGTGGTAAGTGAGGAGAGTAAGGAGGAAAATGAGAAAGAGGCGAGGCGTCATGGGAGATTGGCTTGTGGAGGCTACACGGCTGTCGTCATGCCCTCTCCTACGCTTCTATCCTCCTTGGTCATGAGTGTTCAGTTTGTTGCGTTAGTTGCACATTGCAGATGTTGTAGTTCGAAGCAACCAGTAAGTAGAGATAACCGTTGGTACAAAGCAATGGCGACACTTGCAAGCAATGTATATATAGAACGTGACAAGCATTCACAAACGGTAGCCACGCAGTCGATCGCGCCCTTAGGCGAATGTGTAAGCCAGTCTTTAAAGCTGTACCTGCAAGCACAACGTGAAATAGGCAATGCGCAAACAGATGCACACGTCAAGATAGACCACCCCCCCACCCCCCTCAAAAAAAAGAGGATACTGGCTTTAAGGTCGAATGTTACGAATCCGAGATCATTCTTCCCCCTGGAGGTTGTGAAATCTTGAACGCTTTTCCTGCAAAGTGAGAGACGGAATGTATGGGTTACATTGGTAAAGAACCAAACAAAGAGAACATTAACAGACACCACAAAGAGTATGATGCAGCATCAGAAAAATAGTTAAAAAGACGAGAGCTGTCCTTTCAGATTAAGCACTGTGGACTTGAAATCAAACTGATGGATCTGTACGAACCATGCCTGCCAATATAGTACAACAAAAGAGCTCAGTTTTGTTGGCGAGCCGTGTAACCTAATACAAGACCAGTGCTTGATCAATCGATGCTTAGTGTGAGCTCCGCCCGTTTCGATCTGGATGAGCAGCGTACCGGCGTGCTGTCGTGTATCATCTCTATTACGTGATGCGCGTTAAAGACCTCGTGACAGTAATGGTACTGCACTGGCTGAATCTCTTGCTTACAGCGGAGAACTCCCCGCTGCCTAAACATACACACAAGTACTTTTACGAAACATCGCAAGATGGTCAAGAAAGCGCGCCTGTCGTGTTGGCAGCGACAAAAAGTTGGCCAACTGTACGATTTTTCGTGCGGTGAGCGACAAACGCCGGTGTAAAGGCAGCTGCTGGCTAGATCGTTCCGAGTCCCAACTTACACGGAAGCCTTGACTGTCTGGAGCTGGATGTCGGACTTGTACTGGTGAAATGCGGTGGATAGGAAACAGCAAAAGGTGAGGGCTGTGAGAACGCTTAGGGTAAACGCGAATATCGCGTTTGCTCGGGATATGACCGTATTCATTGCTGCACCGGCGATTGAAATACACGTAATCAAAAGGCTGGGAAAGCTGAAAAGAGACGTGACAGACGGCGAGTTCAGGGTGGCCGGGCTGTCTTGTTTCCTTGGATAGTTTTAGCGGCGATTACTGGCGGTGACCAATCGTTGGCGGTGACACCGGCGACTAGAGAAAACTTCGGCGCGCACTTTATTGGATGAAATTTGGTGACGTCACGACCAATAGGAGCACGGAAACAGACGCGGTCTCCTCAACGCCCGGAGAAACGTCGGAAACATCGTGCCTGACGAACTGTCGTCGAACGAAAGGTGAGTGGTTTGAGTTTTCCTGTGATGTGATCTCTATGTGTGTTCGTTCCACGCGTCCGAGCTGTTTCTTCGTTTCAGATCTATTTGGCGCCGCTGCCTACATTGTTTCGAGCCTGCGTTCACGATTAAAACAACCATCGCAGAAAGCTGAAAGCCCGCCGAAGAACGGCTGACTTGCGAGCTAAACCTAATTCAACAAAACCATTTGATCCGACAGAATAATGTGCTTGATCTTACATTTCATGTCAACAAAGAACTGCGCTGTCTGTCTTCGTCCCTACATGTTTTATTCTTTCGTGTTTTTCAAATCTTTACCAACCCGCGTCCAATCGAATGCCCCGATCACAACAAATAGTTGGTCGTGCTCCGGTGGCCCTTATCATCAGCCGGTAAGGCAGTTACGTTTATCGTTTCTATATTTTGACCCAAGTAACGTCATATTCTCAAACTGTGAAATTCGATCACCACCTCTAGTTTCACATTCTGGTGCACCGTGCACTTGCAGCTTCCTGCACCCCTGCGAGGTTTCCTGCGATCGTACCCTGTATATTATGGATTTCTCGCCGCACGCGAGTGCTCTCGAAGGCGTGCTATACACTCTGTAACATAGGTTGTGTGCAGAAAAGGCACAGGCCCGAGCACAAAAGCGCCCTTTTTGCACGAGCAGCCGTGCAAAAAGAACATTCTGCGGAGCTACGCCCTCGCACCCGTGCCTCTGCTGCACACAACTTATTAATAACCGAGCCGTTCTCGTTTTTGTTTTGCATATTACTGTGGAAGAAGTGTCATTGTTGTTTTCTTCTCAAACAAAACTCACACGCTAGACAAAAGCAAACAGATAGGAGTCTGCACATTTACACCCTTTTCTCCCTTGTGCGGCAGGTTATAGCTGGTCGCGACTCAACACCGTTTCTTTTGAAGCTGATGGGCACCACAAGGCGTGAAAGAGGTGACTTGCAGCTTTGCCAAGGCAGCAGCAAGACACTACAAGCCTTCGCATTAACTGGCTAGCCAGTGGCGCTCTGTTCTGAACAGCACTGCGTGCCATGCAGAGGGTTTGTGCAAGCTCGCTGGGTGGCGACGCTAGCCACGGTAAGTGCATCCTATGCAGCTTTCTTTAGGCATATATGTGGCTTGCAGGCCATGTCGTGCATGTGCCACCCGAGGGACAGCAGTGCCAGTGGCAAGGCTGTGCTGATGGTAATCACCACTGCACTGTGTTTTCATTCAATAACTACTGAAAAGGAACCAAGTACTTCCGAGAGATTCTCGGTTGTGCTTTGATGAACTCCAGCTCGCTTACGAACTTGATGTCTGTGTTAACAATGCAACGAGACTTCTTTTTAGTTTGGGGCGTTGTTTCTGCTGCGGATGACTAGCGTTGCAGTAGAGAAATATGCAAAATAGTGTAATGCTTGCATTAGTTACCTAAATTAATGGCGGGAATAACTGACCTACATTTCCACCAACTGCCTTTCTCAAGAGGAATAGCCTAGACTAGATAGCTCGCTGCACTATGTCCTTCCTCCTTAGCCTGTACAACTCGGCGTCTTTTCCTGATTGTCTTATGTGGCTGCTTCTGTGTTTGCCTAGGCACTCGGTTGAAATAGTGAAAGCTGTCTGCATCGCACATAACTGCCATGAAAGCCAGTGTGGACGTAGCTGGGGTAGCCCCCAATATGGCTTTTCTAGCTCGACACAAGTAATGTTCCTACCACTGTCGTGTATGATGCCAATCCAAGATTGAAATATACTTGTGCTTTTCATTGCCGTGACGTCACGCAGGAACATAGCCAGGATTTTGTTTTGGGGGCGGGGGGCGGCAGCGGCGGGGCGGGCCGGGCCGGGCCGGGCTCCATGAACCCCCTCTAGTTACGTGCTTGCGTCGCGGGATGACAGGCTCACGGTTGGAGCGGCTGTGTAGAAATGAACTATGCCGAGCATTTGTTTCGTGCTGCTGGGTGGGATTTGGGGCGACCTTCCAAAGCATTCTTTTGACACAATGAAACTGTTTGTGATCAGTTGTGAACAAAGTCTACAGCCCTAAGAGTGAACCTTTGCCTTCCCATGACGACTCAATTTCAATGTTGCCAGTAGACCTTTTCACTTTGAAAAACACAATGATGACCAAAATTGCAAATTCTGTAACTTTGCGAAAAAAAGCTATTTCGGCCAGATATTTCGGTTACTATTTCAGCGATGTTTGTTGATGTGCTTAGCAAGTTTTTAGGCAAATCGGGGACAATGAAGAAAATGCCGGAGTACCCCTTTAAAACATGAAGTGCACGTAGTACACAATGAAGAAGTTGCTCGCCAATCATTCTCTTAGAAGTGTGAGTTGAGCCCCTTCGAGGCAGTTTACTGCCGCAACGTGCACTTTAATCCGCCCGAGAAGAGAAAACGAGATGAATGACGAGTAGGATATCTTTGTTCCAAGGCTTGTTGAGACAGGAAAGGCTAGGGAACCAGTATTGTTGCTTCTTGCTACCCGGTACGAGACTCAAACCCGACATGCAAGGAAGTCGAAAGGCCTCTTCATGTGCCCTCTTTCTGCTTCCTTGTGCCTTGAGTTTTAGCTGTGTCTACAATTCACGCTCGCCTGCATGCCTACTCTTTTGGTCTCTTTTTTGTTCACTGTGTTACTGAAGTTTTCTGTCGTTGCTGTCCCAGAAATGCTTTGTGGATGCACAGAAATACAAGGTGCTCGACGCCTGCGGCTAATTGGTATCGCTTTTCCCGGTACCACGGCATGAAGGAGGTGGCCTACTACAAGCACTGGGTTACAACTGCAGCTAGCCCATGGGTACTGTTCTGCATCCTGCACTGAATGTAGTTCCGAGAGCCATGTGAAAAGGCAGGTGTGGCCTTTTTAGGCACTGTCACTTTGTTTTGTGCATTTTCTGCCACTTTTTCGGGGCAACTTCTTTTTAAGATTCAAATATTAGAAAACGGACTCAAGTGAGAGAGGGGGTTTTCTGAGAAGACTGGCTTCTTTGCTAAACCATTGGGACTGGTATTATATCTATAGAGTTCATGTACACCTTACGTTATGTACTTTTTCTTTAGTTTTATTTTACTTGGTACTTATACTTCAATGTTACACGACAGCCACTAAAAATGAAGAAAAAACAAAAAAATGTAGACTTGTCGGTTTTTTTGTTTTGTTTCTTTTGCAATATCTTGGAATAGTCAATGATCTGGTCGGTCATTCATATTATTTTTCCTACACGCATGTCCAGCCTATGTTTACATAAAACCCCAATTGCCCCTTAGCAACGGAAATAATCTGTGCGACAGACTAGGTGGCAGCATTGTGGACGGAAACTGGCCTGATTATATCTGCCATGTTTAAAAACTACATTTGATGTCAGGTTAATTCAGTGGCAAATTCCCTCCAAAAGAATCTACATCACTCTGCCAGCCAATCGCTGCCGTCAGTTGTCGTGACGTCACGTCCAGCAAAGAAACTGCAAACTAGTATTTTTTTTTTTTAATGGCAGGCCTCTGCTGTTGATGCGACATAGCACGTCAACACTCAAGCAATTCTTCCGCTCTTGACCTCTCCGGTTTCACCTTACGAAGTCGTGACGGTGTCTGCTTTTGTTTGCGGTATTTCCCATGTGTCGACGTGAGAAGGCAGCGGTTGTATCGCCAAGTAGCAATTAATCTGTGCATTTGCTCCAGCGGCACAGTGTTACAAACAGGACTCTTTCACCAAGGGCAAAGTCTAACGACTGGCCCTACAGTTGCCAGCATCGTGCAGCCGTGAATGCGTAACTTGTCCGAACGCTTTTATGCTTTCGTCTGTGTACAGTGACAAAATGACTCGCTGAATGCGAAATGCCGTACAGCAAACTACAGTAGAGTCTCATTAATTCAAACTCCAGGAAGTCACAGATTTTAGTTTGAATTATCAGAAATTCATCTAAATATGATACTGGACAGCATTATGATTTGTTACATGGATAGCTACTCATACAAAGCAGATTTTTGCCAGTTTCCTCTACATAGGCCTAATTATAAGCAAGTACAGGCATAACACATTAGTGAAAGAGCTGTGACATTGAGTTTATTCATCCGGCAAAAAATTTGTCGATTGTGGACTGTTTAGTCAGCACATACAATCTCAAAATAAAATTTTCAATACCAGCCAATGCAAGTAGCTCTTTACGGGACTCTTCCTTTGCAGACAGAAACTTCCGGAGCTGAGCGATGTGCTCAAAGCTATGGCTGTGACAGTTGGTAGCAAGTCATCCCTTTCTTCATCGTCATCTTCACTCTCACTGCTGCACTGTGCTGGCATTACTTTCTGTACTATGTCCTCTAACGAGTCATCACGAGAAACACACACATCATCGTCAAGACTAGCATATTCCGCCTGCTCGGCGTTCACATTATGTGCTTCAAGGCCAGAAGGCATGATGCCAGTGAGCTGGTCCTCATCCTCGATGTCGTCTTGGTCATCATTGCTAGTCTTGAAGCACATAATGTGAACGCTGTTTTCCGCTAATGTGTGCCCGCTTGAGCCCCGTTGAGTGTGCTTCTTTATGAGCACCGGTGCACTGCGGAGAAAGAACACTCATGAAAGCACGCTCCGCAGGTATTGCTTCTCTGCGGTGCACCGGTGCTCGGAGAGAAGCATACTCAACAGGGCTGCGAGTACAAAAGTATGAATTAAAGGAGTCATGAAACGCTTTTCCAACTTTTTCCTGTTTAGCTTTCCTCTTCAACTCATAAATCGCGCATTCTACCAAACAGTTCAAGAAGATGGAAACGGGGCAGTCCCCTCTT